CATTGCCACTGTAATTCATTCTTTTAACTACTCATAACTGAAACCAAAGTATTGTCATTTCACTTTAATACTATTTCATCTCAAGCTATATAAGATACATTATTATCTTTGATTAATCTGATAATTAGCAGTATCATTTCAGCATAACTAAAAGGAATATATAAAAGCCACTTTTAATTCTTGTTAAATGTGCTTGTACTTCTGTCAGATTAACTATATGAAAAACCTTTGCACAAAAGACTATGTATTTTTATTTCCAATCAATAACACACTAAAAGAATACTTTGAATTAATACAGACAATACCTATTAAATTACAACTGCAGTACACTCAATAGTCTCTTTCACAACACAACTTTATCACTAAGATTTAGTAAGACTGAGAAACTAGTTACAGAAACTGCCAATTTATTTACTGGTAACTGCACCATATTGCTTAGGGAAAAAAAACCTGTGCACTGACTGGCAAATGCTGATGTCTCCACTTTTTTGTATAGAGGGTAGTCAGACATTTTTATTGCAAAATACCGTCTGGAAAAGATGCAAAATAAAACTGCTAAAATGCAGAAGGAAAAAAAAAGTAGGAAGACAAAGATCCTGTTCCCTTTGCTTATGGAGTTCAAAGGCATAACATGCAGCACCCTGCAGCAAATGGGAAGCTACACTAATTTTAAAACTATAAAATGCTATAAAGTGCCCTGCAGGGCAGGACTATACTGAAGCTAGTTGCACCTAAATAAGATATGGTTCATTTACTTCACAGCTTAGCCTAATGTAATCAGCGGATTTCTAGCCTAGAGTTGTAACAGGCAAATAGCCGATACTACAGAGGCAACACTCCCAGCCATTGAAGGGGCTTCAGCTAGATTGCTGTTGATTAGAAAATTTTTCAGTTTTGACAAGCACTTAATGAACATAAATCGCACCTTGATTGGTTTCCATTGGGGCCACGGGCACACCTGAAAAAAAGAAGATATTACCTCCTCCTAAGAAAGGCTATAGGAAATCTACAACTGTATTACATCTTAGCCAGAAGTATGTATCTACAAAATACTGCTGAATATATTGCACATGCCAATCTTACACACTCCTGCATGACAACACATAACGAAACATTCAATCTAAATTTAGAAATATTCCAAGCTACTTCCAAGTAGAGAAAGACAATCTTCTTGAAATAAAATGATAAGCTTTGAAAATGTTTTTAGCATTTTCACAATTCTGCTGCTGCATGGCAATAACAGCTTCACGACCAATTCAGCTATGCAAGGAAATTTTATAGATTTTCCCATTCCAGGAGCCTCCCTCACCCCAATGTGGGAAAGTACACTGAAGGCTGCTTGGGTGGAAAAAATAATTATTGTATAAATATATCAACTACAAGTTAAATGGAGGCTGACGCTGCACAGAAAGAAAATTGTAGCATTTTGATAGGATTTTCATAAGCTGTACTTTATCCATCTACACACTATACAAAAACAGCTTAACTGAACAGAGATTTTTGTAACTTAGCCACATTTTCTTCCTCACTAATTATTCAATTGGAATGAAAACAGAGTTTTACATTTTGATTTTCACATTACTAAACATTCTAAGAACAACTTCTGTTCTTCACAGATATTCCTTTCTGGCAGCTCTCCTAATCTATGAAACTTTATTTCCCAGACATGGAGATCTTACAAAGGTAAGGATGGTTGCCCACCTGCTGTATTCAAGTGTAGGAGCTTTAAAACAACTGCTTATAGCTAGAGGAGTCCTAAGACACATAGATTTCAAGTAAGTAAAATAATTACATATTTGCATGAGAAGTCTCCAACATCTGGGATGAGATTCTTTCAAAACTTGTTTACATTCTACCTATGACATATGGCACAAGTATTCCATCACACCTGGGATTGTCCACAGAGTGCCTACTGGTGCAAATGAGACCATCAGAGCCTTTGCATTCCGTTACATTCCCTCTGTGGTCCTTCTTCCTGTTTCGGGGTTGGAATTTTTCACACAGCTTACTGTATATATGTTTAAGGGAGTCTACTGCAAGAGTACTCTCTGTTATGTATGCAGGCAAAAGGAACTGTAAAACATCTTCAGGACATTACAGTAGGGGATCTGCGCAAAGCGTTTTTCATCTTTTCAGCTCTTATCTTGAGCCAGGTTGATGCTTCCAGGGCTTCTGCCTGAATCTGCTATCTGTGTTTTGTGCTTAAATTAGGGCTTTGCCCATTAACAGTTTGCTTGTCAGCAAACTGCATAGGAGTTGTGAGCAATTAGCAGACAGCCTGCATCTACCTTTCCTTTCCTGGAAATCCAGCATAGAGGGCTGGCTGGCCAATACAATTCTAAAGGAAAAAATCCAATCCAGTTGCTGGGATTTCTCTAACCTTAGTACAGTAGTATAGTAATATAGTACTTTTTTTTAATCCCACCTTTATATTTTTTATAAATAACTCAAAGCGGTGAACATACCTAATACTCCTTCCTCTTCCTATTTTCCCCACAACAACAACCCTGTGAGTTGAGTTGAGCTGAGAGAGAGTGACTGGCCCAAAATCACCCAGCTGGCTTTCATGCCTAAGAAAGAACAGGAACTCCCTGTCTCCTGCTCTCTAGCCTGGTGCCTTCACCACTAGACCAAACTGGCTCTCATTCTCTTTGCAAGAATCTTGGTTTCTGTGGAGTTGGAGCAGCCAAAAACTTGACACAAACTTTTAAATTGAAAAGATTTTAGTGTGTTTGCAGCTGCTTGAATGATGAAGTTATGTTGTATTTTACTGACTCATTTTAAAACTGTTCATATTGTTTCAAATGGTCTTTAGTCCTTCCCTCCCAACATTCCTGATTATTGTTTGCTCAATTTATTCACCACCACACACATACTTCTGGGTGGCATACAAGTTTAATAAATTATTACTATTACTATTATTATTTGCAGTAGTTTCAGGCTTTTCTTTGACAGATGAGATGTTGCATATGGATGTGCCCCTTAGGCTCTGACTCTGCCTGTACTAGAGCAGGTTTTGGTGGTGATCAGAATATGTGCCTAACTATACTGATTGCAAATCAAGAGTTTTGACATTCCCTTCTATCTTACAGCAAGCAAAATATGTGAAATGGCTTTTGGAGGCCATGCATGGCTTACTATGTTTATTGTAAACCAGTTAGGCAAAAGCTAGAGTTCAATTCCCCTTTACATAATGTACTCAACAGGCAAACTATATCCAATAATCTAAAAATAAGTTCCATTGTACCTATTACTTCCAAACAGAAATAGGAATGGCTATACACTGCTTCCAAAAAAGGGAAACAGAGGTACAAAAGCAGAGGTACATAGATCTTTTTATAATTGTGTTTAATTGCAAATCTATTGGAATATAATCCCATACATTATTGCAGGAATTGTAACAGGCAAGACATATTAATCTATGATAGCCATAAATCAGCAGTAGTCTGGTACCAACTTTTTAGACTAACCAATTTTATTAAAAGGCATACTTTTTTTTGAGCTATAGGTCATTTTATCAGATTCATGGAGTGGCTAAAGTGATACAGGATTTAAACTGGAATGAGACAGGGTGGGAAGGGAGGGGAAGACAGAGTGGTTGTACAGATGCAATTACATGTGAGACAGATTACAAGTACCTACAATTGCAATATGTTAAAAACCCATGGTGTTTGTTGAGATGTGAGATAGCCTGAAACATTCTGATGTATGAAAGTTAGCAATATCTAGGTCACAATCTAGGTTTGTGTTGGTAAAGTTTTTTTCCCCAAAATGGTTACTTTGCGATCAAAGGGTTATTAAATCACTCAACATTTACTGATATATTTATTTCTATCTGCAAAGATACTGCAAGCATTATTCTGATTTGAGGATGAATTTGTAAAACACTGAAGCTAGTACTTGCCTTTCAAAATTATGAAAAAAGTTTATTTAACTATACAGCCACCCAAATTACAAATGTCAATCACTCTGGGTGGTTGACATAAGATTTAAAACTCAAAGTAACTGAAAAACATAAAAACCACACACACAAAAACAACAATATAAAACAAGACAAGAGGCCAAACTGCAATCATATTAGCATTTCCAGAACTACCACTAGTTCAAAAGTAAGTCATACTTTGAGTAGATGTGCTTAGAATTACAGTCACAAACCAAAAGCAAAGAGCATGAGTCCCTCTTTTGTCTCTTTTGGGGTACCTTGGCAAGCAACTCATTAAAAATATAAAGTATCCTACAAAAATCTTAGCAACTCTCCTTTTAATTTATGATAGATTCTGTCTGCCAGCATTCACCACTATTTTATGATGATTTGTGGTTCTCAGTAATTTTCAGCTCTCATAAGTGTACTCTGAAAAAATCTGATCTAAAGATAACTAGAGCTCTTGTTCTGCAAAATATTGTTTATGATAGATTCACAACTATGATTTGTGTTTTGTTTTGTTTTTTGTAAAGCCTACACTTATAGTTCTAACAGAGTCATAATATATGCTAGGTCACTACAGGAATACCTGAATAATCCTTGTTCATTTAATAATATGGGGAAGGATTCTGGAGCATACAGTAAAACATGCTAGGTTTTATAGATGGCTTGTAATCCTCATGTAAACAAAATAATCCTTTATTTCATACAGTCTTTTGTGTATGCTCAGAATTGCAGAATCAACTGATTGTGGTATATATTCTTACAATCTTATACCATGATATTAACAGTAAATTTAAACAATTACAGTACCAATTATGAGGAATAATTTTACATAACTCATCTCCACCCCACCACTTCAATCTAAAAAAGCATCTTCTGGCTGGGGTAAGTAATGCAAGTTAGCTCCAGTCTTAATCTCTTGTAGTTTTTAGATGGTACATTATATAGCTGATTATAAATTCAATAGTTGTACAGTGAAAGTACCAAAGGATGTTTATTAATTAGGCTTTTATTTTTTATTATGGATAGGGTTATTGTTCTTTTGTAGCCTAAGTTTGATTATAGAACTTGACCTTTAGATAAACATCAATGCATGCATACTTACATGTAAGCTTGGATGATAGGTCAGTACACCATCATCCCCAAGAGTAACATATTTCTTCTTCCACTCTTTATTTAATGATTTACCACTTCGCTTTAACAGCATTCCCTGTTGAAGAAAAATAGCAAACTGAAATTCAAAAAGTACAAACTATTCTAATTTGGCTACCCGTATTACTATATGTATCCAGTGCTATTTTGCCTTTTATTCACAGACCAAAACAGAATTATTTGCCCACATGTTTCTGAACACATAATCTTCCTCATAGAATGACTATTTTAAACCAGACTGAAAGCAACATGAGCCAGGGCCAGTGCTAGAATAAATACAGCCTCAGGAATAGAGTACTTTTGGTTCACCTTCCATCAGTTTAAATGTTGAATCATCTTTGCTAGGTTCAGAGGGAACTTGGAGTTGTTCCTAAGGCTCTGAGACCTTAGTTGTTGCTTAGAGAGCAACAGCAGCCTTGAATTGGTTTGTACCTGTGCAGTCTATCTTTGCCTGTGGATTCCAGAAAGCTCCCTGGTTTTCAGAGGAAGATGAAGCAACCTAGAATGCTGCTTCTACCTTGTGGTAAATAAATTTTTTGCTCTTATTGTGTCAATAGATAGATGGCTGGTGGTCCTGTTCAAGGTGATCCAGTCCCCCCTAGCTAAAGAGGGGCCAGAGGAATATCTGTAAGAGTGTTGAGAAGACAATTTAAGGCATCTATCAGAGTCTCTCAGATACATTATGAGTTAAGATTCTGGTTCTATGACTGAGGCTTGGTGTGTCTAGGTTACCTGGGAAGAGTTTCAGTCTGTTGGTCCTGAGGAAATGGACAGGGACTTTGGGGCTGTTAAGTGCACAGCTAGTTTCTGCTTGAAGAGTAAGTACCAGTTATGACAAAGAGGACTTTTGCACAAACCCATCCTGTGCACCAATTATGCCCATTACTGAATCAGGAGCTCTGCTCACAGTCATTTGGGTTCTACATGGTGTTGCTCCTGAAGACCACTCACAAGCTGAAACTAGTCTAGAATGCAGTGATGTGGATAGCTGTGGGAACACCATGGTATGCCCATGTAACACTACTACTTTATGAGTTGCACTGGCTCCCAGTAGGTTTCTAGGGGCAATTCAAGGTACTGGTTACTATCTATAAAGCCCTTCATGGTACAAATTATTTGCGGGAGTACATGTCTTCAATTATTTCTGCCCATCCCACAAGACCTGACAGTGTGGGGCATGCTTTAGGTCCTCTCTATAGAACAGGGCTACCTGACAGGGTCCAGGAGGCATTGTCTGTCATGGTGCCTATGGAACAGTATACACCCTTGATTCAGATGGCCTTCTACAAAGTTGTGAAAACCTGGCTCTTCCCCCAGGCATTGGACCAAGGTGTTACATAAGCACATATGTAATGGTTTAGGATGATTGTGGTTGGCCTCAGATGATTATTGTTTTTATTTTTGTTTTAGTTAACTTTTTGTTTCTCTCTTTAAATCCAACATTAGCTGCCCAGGGACATATTTTGTGAGTTGGGTAGCCATTTAAACTGATTAAATAAATAAAAGCCTAATTCAAGTTGGGAATATAAGTATATGATTTTTTTTTTAAATGAAACAAGCTGAAATGTGGTACGCAGTTGCAGTCTGGTCTCCTGAACAACATATTAAAAAGTCCTATTTAGGCAAGAGCAGCTTTTTTTGATGTACGAAAATAACTATCCCACCTAGTAAGATTCTGTATCAACTAGAAGCAATACTCTGGTATGCCATTGTTTGTTTATTTGCTAAGATCATGTTCACTACCAAAACGTGGCTATAACTATGGTTGACGAACACTGAAAATGAAATCTTTATAATGTTTTTAATGTCCACAATCAGAATGAAAATTTGAAACAGATGAAATCCAATGCACTGAAATTTTCAGATCGAAATTTTATATAATTTTTTATTAAAACTTTTAAACAAGAAGATAAAAACTAACACAAACTAATATAAGTAAGGAAGAAAAAGGAAGAAATCAAAGAAAGAGAAAAAAGTGCAAGAAAAGAAAAAAAAGCTGAAGAAAAATAGAAAAGAAAGAAAAAAGATATAAAGAAGTGGCTTCTGATATTCTTTACAGCAGCTATAAGTACAATTATATTTTAACCTCTCTCTCTAAAGTTGCATCATATTACTGTTCTTTCTATAATCCTGTCTAATCATAAAAAAAAAAGTCACAAGTTCATTTTTTTTATGGACTCATCAAAGTCCATATGAGGCTTCCAATCACCAATAAATGTACATAGTATCTTTTTTTCTAATCAAAGAAGTCAATTTCTTGCAAAATCTGTCAACTTCACCAACCATTCTTCCATAATGGGTAGTATTGAATCTTTCCATCTCTGCGTATATAGTAATCTTGCCGCAGTAATCACATATTGAAATAATCTTCCATGGCTTTTTTCTAACTGTTTATTCACTAATCCTAAAAGGAAAAGTTCCGGCTTCAATTGAATATTGATCTTTAAAATCCTCTGTATAAAGTATGCATTTGAATCCAATTTTTTTGTAGCTTTTTTACATGTCCACCAAGCATGATAAAATGTCCCTTCATGCTGTTCACATTTCCA